CCCGAGCTGGGGTCGGGTCTTGCCATCCCTCCCATGCAGTTGGCAGCTCTGGCTGTGTGTGGGGCCATGGGGCTCCTGGCAATCCCACCCCTTCTGCGTGAGCCCTGGGGGAGGGGCAGGGGTCAGCCCAGGGGTGCAGCTACCAGCCCCATGACCTGCCAGCCAGCACCTGGTCACCACCACTCCAGGGCAGGGTGAATGTGAAGGGCCTTCTGGCTGTGCTGGCAGCAGCTTGTACCCACCTGTCTCTTCTGTGCCTGGAGTAGGCCTATTTGTTTCCCTGTCAGGGCATGGGTCAAGGCCCACCATGTGACTTAGTGGCCCCCACTAGTTGGGGGCCAGTGAGGACAGAGGAAACAACTTATTGCTTGGGACAAAAGGGAATGTGCGCATGGGTCAGAGAGTCAAAACAAGTGCACCCTTGGGGCACACCGAGCGGAGCACCCCAGACAGTGCCTACCAACTCTCAAACACAGCTAGAGAGCTGGCAGCTACTGCCCAGCAGTGCTCTGCCCGGAGATTAGACCATAGGAAACGCAGGAAAATGGCCCCACAGTCTCTGGGGACCATTTCGGCCAGAGCCTCCTACCTGGTGACATAAATAGCCAACTTGGTCAGGGCCAGAAGGAGGTTAGCCAGGAGGTCCCGGGCCTTGGTGGAGCCAGAGTTGGGGACTGCAAAAATAAACAAGTGAGGAGAAATGTGCAGCCAGAACCTCAATAGGAGGTTGTGGAGGAGGAGGTGCAGGATGGGGCTGGGAGATGGGGCTGGAGACACCTGACTAATGCCCATCCTACCTCCCCACACAGGGAGCAACCATGGCTTCAACACCTGCATCAAAGGTAAGTGCAGGGGGCTCTAGCTTGAGGGATCTCCCAGGGGAGACACTGCCCCTGTCCAAGCCAGCCCTGGGAGCCCCATATCACCCCAAGCCAGGCAGCTGTGGAGGCTGAGGAGGGGGACAGCTCCTGGCTGGGTCTGCACCAGCCCCTCTGCTTCTGGGGCGGGGAGGGGCAGAGTAGGGGTGTCCATTGCCATCCCAGGCAGCCTGGGCTCTGGGGCCTGAAGGTCCAGGGAAGGGGCTGCAGCCTGGGCACTGCCAGGAGCAGAGCTAGCATACTGCAGGGGACCCCTCAGTGGGAAGTGTGTTGTGGAGGGGCATCTCCTCAGTGCAGGGAGTGACCCCAGGCTGGAGTTGAGTGCTGGGTCAGTGACTGCCCAGTGTTGCAGTCCCTCCAGCTCCTACATCTCTTGTGTCTTCTTCCCCCAGCTTAGCAGAGCCAGGTGAAGTCTGTGCCACCCCCTGAAGGGCCCACAGAGGAGGAGAGGGCACAGCACCAAGCAACACACTGCACTGATTAACCCCTTCCAAATGCCTTGATTTTACCAGAGCAAAGCCCCTTGTCTCTGGGACAGCAAATAGCTGGCATTTAAAATTAAAACTGCTTCACTGCATCCTGGCTGGGGATGGAGAGTGGGACTTGTGGAGTGGGAAAGGTGGGGGTGTGGTGCTACACCAAGGAGGAATACACATCCTCATCTAGTAGCACAAGGTCAGAGGAGGGGCAGACTGAAGTGCTCTGGGTCAGAATACAAGGGGGTCGGGGGGAAAGGGACTTAACGGTGGGGTCTACTAGAGACTTCCCAACCAAGGGGAAGAGCTAGACTGGGAATTCTCAGGTCAGCTCACAGAGGTAGTTAGGTCAAAGGACGTGGTCATCATGGGTGACCTGAACTTTCCAGACATCTGCTGGGAAGAGCAATCAGCCAGGTCTGACCGCTCACGTAGGCTCCTAGCCGAGATACAGGACCTCCATCTAACCCAGGTGGTGCACAGTCCCACCAGGGGAGCTGCCTTGTTGGATCTGGTGCTGGCCACAGGCGATGACCTCATGAGGGGGCTGCGGGTGCTCGACCACCTGGGCAACAGCAATCTTCACCTGCTGGCATTCACCATCCAGTGCAGGGTGGCAAAGGCCTGCAGCCAGGCAGCTGCCCTGGACTTCAGGAGGGCAGATTTCAATGAGGTAAGAAGACTAGTCAGGGAGGCAGTGAGATCCCTGAGGGGAGGGGAGAGGAGTTGGGTGTCCAAGAAGAGTGGTCGTTCCTTAAGGAGACGATCCTCCAAGTCCAAAGGGAGGTAATCCCAACACAGATCAAAGGGAGCAAGAGTGCACAAAACCCCCCATGGCTCACCAAAAGCATATGGGAACATCTCCTAGCTAAAAGGGAGGAGTACACCCTATGGCAGGGAGGGGCCATCGCCAGGGAGGACTACACCTCGGTTGCTCAGGGCTGCAGGGGGGCGGTCAGGACCGCCAAGGGGGAGATGGGGCTGGGACTAGCGACCCGGATCAAGGACAACAAGAAGTCCTTTTTTAAATACAGAGGGTGCAGAAAGAAGGTACCAGGTAACGTGGGGCCTCTGCAAGACACTCTAGGAAATCTGGTTGTCGCACCAGACGACAAGGCTAACCTATTTAACAATTTCTTTGCCTCCATTTTCCTGAGCAGGGACCGGATCAGCCCATCCAGCGGGCCCCCCTCAGGCCCCAGGGGAGGCGCACCCAGGCCTAGGGTCAGTGAGGACCTAGTCAGGGACTTCTGAAGGGACCGACGTATTTAAATCAGCTGGTCCTGACGATCTCCACCCCAGAGCGCTGAGGGAATTAGCAGAGGTCATGGCGGGACCCCTGGCACGGCTTTACGAGCACTCATGGTGCTCTGGCGAGGTGCCAGAGGACTGGAAAAGAGGCAATGTGGTTCCCATTTTCAAAAAAGGGAGGAAGGAGGACCTGGGAAACGATAGGCCAGTCAGCCTTACCTCGATCCTGGGTAAGCTTTTTGAGAGTTATCCTGGTGCATGTCCGTGAGGGGCCAGCAGGGGGGATCATGCTTAGGGGCAACCAACATGGGTTCATTGGAGGCAGGTCCTGTCAGACTAACCTGGTGCCTTCTACGACCAGGTCGTAACATCCTTAGACGCAGGGGTAGCAGTGGACATAGTCTTTCTGGACTTCAGGAAGGCCTTTGACACTGTCTCTCACCCCATTCTCATTAAAAAACTAGGGGACTGTGGTGTCAACACCTACACGGTCAGATGGGTCGCTGACTGGCTGGAGGGCCGCACCCAGAGAGTGGTGGTGGACGGGGCATTTTCAACCTGGAGGGATGTGGGCAGTGGGGCCCCCCGGGGCTCGGTCCTCGGGCCCTCACTGTTCAACATCTTCATTGGTGACTTGGACAAGGGGGTAAAAAGCATCCTGTTCAAATTCGCAGATGGCACTAAGATGTAGGGATAAGTGAGCATGCTAGAAGGGAGGAATAGGTTGCAAGCAGATCTAGACAGGTTACAGGGGTGGGCAAATGAGAACAGGATGGGTTTCAACACTGACAAGTGCAAGGTGCTGCACCTGAGGAGGAAGAACCAGCAGCAGACCTACAGGCTGGGGAACTCCCTTCTCGTCAGTGCAGAGGCAGAAAAGGATCTTGGAGTCATTATTGATGCCAAAATGAACATGGACCGACAGTGTGGGGAGGCGGCTAGGAAGGCCAACTGTACCTTGTCGTGCATCCACAGATGCATCTCAAGCAGGTCCAAGGAGGTGATCCTCCCCCTCTATGCGGCACTGGTCAGGCCACAGGTCAAGTACTGCGTCCAGTTCTGGGCACCGCACTTCAGGGGGGATGTGGACAACATGGAGAGGTTTCAGAGGAGGGCACCCGCATGGTCAGGGGGCAGCAGGGCAGGCCCTACGAGGAGAGGCTGAGGTACCTGAACCTGTTCAGCCTCCACAAGGGAAGGCTGAGGAGGATCTAGTGGCCTGTTACAAACTAGCCAGTGGGGACCAGCAGGCATTGGGGGAGTCCCTGCCCCCCTGATCACTCCCAGGAGTGACTAGAAATAGCGGTCACAAGCTGGCAGAGGGTAGATTCAGGCTAGACAACAGGAGGAGCTACTTCACTGTCAGGGCGGCTAGGATCTGGTACCAACTTCCAAGAGAAGTGGTGCTGGCTTCTACCCTGGGGGCCTGTAAGAGGAGGCTGGATGAACATTTCGCTGGGGTCATTTGACTCCAGTACTTTTTCCTGCCATGGCAGGGGTCGGACTTAATGATCTGCTCAGGTCCCTTCTTACTCTACCTACTATGAAACTATGAAACTTGGGGATTGCTGTTGCAGGTCTGGACCACAATTTGCTTTTTATAAAAAGAACAGGCAGAGGTGAGATGACCTTGGAATTGATTCTTACCAGGGAGATGGGCAAGGTTTACACTGCATCAGGCAGTGTGGGTCATGCTCTAGAGCAGCAGTTCTCAACCTTTTTGGCCAACTGCGCAGTGTGGGGTCCATCTGCAACCATATTGCCAGACCAGCCCCATCCTTGCCTGCCCTCAAGGTGCTGGATCTGGGTCCTGGGGGTCTGCACACCTGACCCCCTGCACACCGGGGTTGTGACACCACTGTCCTGCTGCAAATCTCCGGACCATGAGAAGCCCCATGGACTGAATGACATAGCACCATGAGCCAGAGGTTGCTCACCCTTGCCTAGAGCATCCCTGTCTTGGATTGATTGTACATTAACCCTCATAGCATATTTTTGCAGTGTTGTTCAATGTGTGCTGTCGCTTTCTGCTGCTCCACTTTGCTCTGCACATAGTGCCTGCAGCCTTGGGGGTGACTCCAAGACAGGGCTGTGTTCTCAGGACATATAAAAACCCTGATTTAAGAGCAACTTGTAATCTAAACTGGTGCCCAGGTACCTGAACATCCCCAGTTCTGGCAGGGGTGGAGGAGGTCTAATTCTCACATTTGCACTGGACATTGCTTTTGACAAGGGAATCCTCTTTTTTCCCCTCCTCTTCTTTTCTTTTCTTTTCTTTTTGGGGTGGGGTGTGATGTTGAGATTTTAAGATTGTAAGAGCTTCTTTAGAGAACAAATGTGCAGACAGTTGGAGCTAACTCAGGTCCCAGCCCCTGACTTGGGATTGGAGAGCCACCAGACAATGACAGGCTCATGCATTATTTCAGCTCTTTATTTATTTCACAAAATACCTTGCACAGCCCAACCCCAGCTCCAAGACATACCTGCCCCCCCAACCAACATGCAGGTAACACTAGATACTCACAGCAAGGTAACCAGGATAAAGCACAACCCACCCCATGTCCTGCCCTTGTTTCTGGCTCTCCCCAACCTCTTCTACTACTTCCCCCCGCCCAGGGACAGCTGCCCACTCCCAACTAGGTTACAGGCCCTGTTGGGAGGCAGAGGGGTTCCTTCCCTAGGCAGTGGGTTACTCAGCAAACTGCCTCTGCACCAGGCTGTAGTAGGGGCCCCGGCATGCCATGAGCTCCTCATGCGTCCCCTGCTCAGCCACGGCACCACCCTCCAGCACCACGATGTGGTCGGCTCCCTCTACCATCGCCATGTGGTGGGCAATCACCAGCACCGTGCGGGCCCCTCCACTCAGCACTGCTGCACGGACCTGGGGAAGAGTGGAGATTGTCAGGATGCAGCCCAAGGTGCCCCCTGTCCCGCAAGCCTGAGTGTGAATCCCGCCACTCACTGAGGCCTCACTCTCCACGTCCAATGCGCTAGTAGCTTCATCCAGTATCAGCACCCTCGGCTGCCGGATCAGGGCCCGGGCGATGGCAATTCGCTGTTTCTGCCCCACCGACAGCTGTCCACCCTTCTCCCCCACCTCTGTGAGTAGGAGAGACAGCAGTGGTCAGGACACCTGGGTTCTCCCCCAGCCTGGGGAGCAGAGTTGGGGGGTGGGGGAGCAATGGCAGAGGCTGGGAGCCTGGACGCCTGGCTTCTCTCCCCAGCTCTGTGACGGCATGGGGTCTGCTGGGTTGTTGAAGGGAGCCAGGATGCCTGAGATCTCTCTGCAGCCCAGGAAGAGGAGTGGGGCTTCCCAAAAGTTGTGGCCACGTACACTGTGGGACTCACCCATCTCCAAGCCCTGGTCCAACGTGGCGATAAACTCGGCAGCATGGGCTGCTTGGGCTGCGGCCATCACCTGCTCCTTGCTGCAGCTCTCCAGCCCATAGGTGATGTTGTCCCGCACAGAGCCAGAGAAAAGCATGGGCTCCTGCCCCACTAGTGCCACCTGCCCACGAGAAGCTATGTGAACTGAGACTGCCCCCTCAGCTCGCTACTCTCCATGTCAGGTACAGCCCGCAGCCCTCACCTGTCGGTGCAGGTAGCGATGGTCATAGGTGTGCAGGGGCTCCCCATCCAGCAGGATCTCCCCGGCCTGGGGCTCGAAGAACCGTTCCAGCAGTGCCACACACGTGCTCTTCCCGCTACCGTTCAACCCCACCAGCGCAGTCTTCGTCCCAGGCTGCAGCTCAAATGATACCCTCTGCAATAGCAGCCATGAGATCATGGGGCCATTGTGGCCACAGCAGACACCCAGGGTCCCCCAGGGCTATGGAAAAGGGGTACCTGGAGGACGGGGAGGTCGGGGCGCAAGGGGTAGGTGAAGGAGACATCCCGGAAGGTGACATGGCCCTGCAGCATGGTGGGTGCCCGGGTTCCATCAGTGCTCATGGCTGGCACCCGGTCCAGATACTCAAACACCTTCTCTGCCGCACCCACGTTGCTCAGCAGGTCCCCATATATGTACACCAGGGTCTGGGGGTGAAAGAGAATCAGGGATGTTGTACTCTGACAATCTTGGCCTTGGTGAGGCCGCAGCTGGAGTACTGCATCCAGTTTTGGCCTCCACAATTCAAAAAGGATGTGAAGCTTGAGAGTCCAGAGAAGAGCCACATGCATGATCAGAGGTCAGGAAAACAGACCTTATAATGAGAGGCTGAGAGCTATGGGGCTCTTCAGCCTGGAAAAGCGCAGGCTCACGGGTGATCTGGTAGCCACCTACAGGTTTAGCAGGGGTGTTTACCAGGATCTGGGGAACATCTGCCCACCAGAGCACCCCAAGGGATGACAAGATCGAGTAGTCACAAACTCCTCCGTGACAGTTTCAGGCTGGACATAAGGAAGAACTTCTTTACTGTCCGAGCCCCCAAGGTCTGGAATAGCCTGCCACCAGAGGTGGTTCAAGCACTTACTTTGAACGCCTTCAAGAGACATTTGGATGTTTATCTTGCTGGGATCCTATGACCCCTGCTTACTTCCTACCCTTGGGGCAGGGGGGGCTGGACTTGATGATCTTCCGAGGTCCCTTCCAGCCCTAGTGTCTATGAAATCTATGTGCTGGAAGTGGGGGGCAGGGGGGTGGGGGGAGGGGATGGGTAATTCCCTGCCCCACTCACCTGTACGTATCTGCCCACTTCACCCTGGTAGAGCAGGAAGGAGACCAGACCACCCTTGGTCATGAGCCCGGTCTGGATCTGCTGGTGGCCGCAGTACAGCATCAGCACCTGCATGGCCAGCTGCAACAGCTGTGGGGGCAGAGTGGCTGTCATGCCCCCAAGCCCATCATTCACAACCCTGCATCCCCCCAATGTGCCTGGAGGACATGTCGCCCATGGCTGTCCTGGACCACAGGGTATCCATCAGCCTGACTTCAACTCAGCCATTAGCTTGCACACCATCTTTCCTGGACACTTGGATTTCTTTTCCAGATGCCTAGGTTCCTGTCTGTCTTCCACAGCTCATGTGCTAGAGCACCACCAGCCTTCCTTCCCCTGGGGCTCTTGTCTTTCAGACTGTGGCCTGCCAGGTTGGGACACCTCGGTCCCCTGTTCACCTACCACATAGGATTGTTGCACTCAACTCATCCCTGGAGACATAGGCAGCAGGGTCACATGTGTTCTGGTGCCCTCTGTCCATGGGCAAGGAGCAACATTCCCCCCCTCCCACAACATGCACACAAAATGCAGGTGGTCAAACACACACATGCAACCAATGCAGGCATCCAACACATATACACCCCAGGTGTCCAACATGCACACGCAGACACACAATCCAGGCATCCCACATACACACGTGCACACAACCCAGGCATCCAACACAGACGCACTCAGACAAAATGCAGGTGTTCAATATTCCCCCACTCCCAGGTACTCCACACACACATACACAAAACAGGTGTGTCACACATGCACATGCACACACAACCCAGGCATTCAACACAGACACGTGCACACACAAACTGCAGGCATCCATCACAGACCACCCCCATGTATCCCATCCACACCTCACACAACGCTGCCCCCCCTGGTGTCACACACACACACACACACACACACACACACACCTCAGATGTCTCACACACGCACAACCCACACATCCCATGCACCCACACGCAAACAACCCAGGTATCCAATGCATATACAAAATGAAGGCATCCAGTACAGACACACATTTACATAACAAGAGCTCACTTATGTAGACACAGACACACAACCTATGTGTCCAACACACATGCACACAGCAGAATCCTGCTTGTCCAACACACACACACACATGCACTTGCATGTGCACACATATACAGATGCACCCCTCCCACCTCCCAGACTCCTGGGTTTATTCTCCCCCACTATCTCCCCCATGGCAGCATAACCCATCCCCCAGGTGCCTGGATCCCAGCCACATCCTTTCTCTGGCCCCCTTGTCCCAGCCTGAACCGTGCCCTCCTCCTGCCCCTTCCCTGGGCACCAGGGACCCACAGGTGGCTTACCCGTTGGAAGAGCAGGTAGAGGGCCCGCTCCAGGTCCCGGCGGTCCTTGAGGTGCCGGGTGTGGGCCAGAGCTGCCTTGTAGCGCTGTGCCTCCTCCTTCTCGGTGCCGAAGCTACGCACAGTCTCCACAGAGGCCACGGCCTCACGTGCCACCTCCCCGGAGTATGCCACGGAGTCCTGAATGGCCTTGAGCACAGCCTGAGGGGTGGGACAGAGATGAGGAATACCTTGATGTAAAGAGGTTTCCTGTGCTCTTGTGGAGAGGGGTCTGCCTCCCACTGGCAGAGAGGGGTCTCTGGGACATGGGGTCCAGGCTGCCTGCTCCCAGAGCCAATAGAGAAAGAGGCATTGCCTTTGGGAACAAGTAGGATCACAGCATCCTAAAGCTGTGGGGCTGGAAGGGACCTGCAGAGGTCACAGCTAGTCCAACTCCTGCCTGAGGTAGGACCAGCCCTGTCCAAACCAGTCCAAACAAATCCACTGTCCAACCTCTGAGCAAAACTAGTCAACCCTGACAGCACCAGACATCACCCCCACCCAATCACAGGAAAAACGGGGAGACCATGGTGGCCAACATCCTGCTGCAGCAAAGGGGGTTCCAGGCAGAGGCTGTCCCCTGACGACAAAAAAAAGCAAATACCTCTCACGTCCATACCCATCTAACCAGGGAATCAAATCTCTTCCTGACCCCAAATCCAGCATTAGTCTGAGCCTGAGCAGACAGGCAAGACCCTCCAGCCAGGACCCTCTGGGTTTGGTCCCAACAGGAGCATTGACACAGCCCAGTCGCTACCCTCAGCCCTGACTGCAGCCAGCTCCCAGTGCCTCTGATGACGGCTTCTGTCCTGTCCCTCCTTCAGCCTTCTCCTTTCCAAACAAAAAGCTTTGAGCCTTTTAGAGTCTCTCCTGGTCTGGCCACTCTCCATGAGCCCCATACCTGGTAGCGGGCATCATAGACCTTCTGGGAGGCCATGGTGAGGGGTGACTCCAGCAGCGTGAGCAGTGTCAGGCGCCACGACAGGCCCAGCATGAAGCCGTAAAGGCCCAGTGCTTTCACCAGGCTGCGCAGAAAGACGTTGGCATTGATAGGCACAGAGCGGCTCATCAGAGTCGTGTCCTTGGAGAGGCGCGACGTCAGTTCCCCTGCAAGGGGCAGGGGCACAGTGAGGCCTGGCTCTCCCTTCACTGCTCATGGGGGATGTACAGGGTGGAGCAGGGGCATGGGGGGCAAGAGGGGGGTGGGTGGCTGAGGGAAGGCTGCAGTGAGGGAGACTGGGACCCACCTGTCTTGACCTGCTGGAAGAAGGCCAGGTCCTGGTGCACCAGGGAGGAGAAGAGCAGCCGACGAAGGCGGAGATTGAGCCGGGAAAGCACGAATGTGAAGAGACCCCCTCGGCAGCCGGCAGCCAGGGAGCTGGGGGGTGAGATGGGGAGATGAGACTGGTGCCCTCGCCTTCCCTATCCTGCTCTGCACTGAACCCTTTGAGGGAGCTTCTCAGCCAGACTGGCTGACCTACTCCACTGGGCTTTAAACTAAGCCCGTTGGAGGATGGGGGGACTACCGCCTGCTCTATTTTGTCCTGAACCTAATCATCCTACTACCGCCACTGCTGGCCCGCTGAGCAATCCTTGCAAAGCCAGCAGATCACGGCGCTTCAGGGAGCCCACCCCTGCCCCAGCCCTGGTAAAATCTGTGTGCAAGGAAGGAGCCCCCCGGGGGCCACTTGCCTGCCTGTACACTAATGCCAGGAGCTTAGGGAATAAGCAGGAGGAGCTCATCCTCATGCTCAGTGCAAACAATTACGATGTCATAGGGATAACGGAGACCTGGTGGGACTCCACCCATGACTGGACCATGGGGATAGATGGGTATACCCTGTACAGGAGGGATCGTGTAGAGAAAAGGGGCGGGGGTGTAGCTCTCTATGTTAAGGAAAGCTACACGTCCCTGCAAGTCGATATTGGCGACCAGGGTGGACGGCTGGAGACCCTCTGGGTTAAAATCCGTGGGGAACACGGCACAGGGGACACAATGGTGGGAGGAGTTTGCCCGGGAACTGGCTGAGGCAGCTTGCTCCAGGACCATGGCTGTCATGGGTGACTTCAATTACCCGGACATCTTGTGGGAGGATCGCTCAGCAAAATCTGAGTGGTCGCAGAGCTTCCTCTTGTGCGTTGATGACCTCTACCTGACTCAAGAAGTCTATGGGCCAACGAGAGGCAAAGCGCTGCTCGACCTGGTACTGGCTACTGGGGATGACCTAGTCGGCGACCTAGTGATCGATGGGAAGCTGGGTGACAGCGACCACGAGCTGATCACCTTCACCATCCGCCGAAAAGCTGGCAAGTCGGTCAGCAACGCGCAAGTCCTTGACTTCAGGAAAGCCGACTTTGACAAGCTCAGGAGGCTTGTCAGTGAGGCCCTAAGGGACCGTGACCACAGGGAGAGGGGAGTTCAAGAGGAGTGGTTGCTCCTCAAGGGAGCGATCCTCAATGCACAAACTAAGTCTATTCCATCTCGGAGGAAAGGCAGCAAGAGGGCACAGCAGCCCCCCTGGCTCTCCAGGGACCTAGCAGACCTCCTGAGGCTAAAAAGAAAGGCCTACAAAGGATGGAGGATGGGAGTCACCTCCAAGGAGGATTATTCTGCACTGGTCCGGTCCTGTAGGGAGCAGACCAGGAAAGCCAAGGCTGCAACTGAACTCCAACTAGCTTCGAGCATCAAGGACAATAAAAAGTCCTTTTTCA